TTTAAGTGCAAGCACTCTCTAAGCGGTGTACACCAGTAAGCAATGTATATATATATATATATACATTGCCCCCAACAATCTGGGTCCTCATTTTACCTACCCCGGAAGGATGGAAGGCTGAGTCAACCTTGAGCCGGTGAGATTTGAACCGCTGACCTGCTGAACACAGTCAGCTAAAGTGGCCTGCAGTACTGCACTCTTAACTGCTGCGCCACCTCGGCTCTTTTAATGAAGATGAAGGTCTTCAAAGAACTTTGAGGCATTGTTTACCTTAAAGAATCTTTATTCGAGTAGCAACACATCGGCACGTACATAATCCAAGCCAAAATCTGGCTTCCCCTCCCCCTAAGCACATAGTATCAAAGCACAATTCCCTTCTCTTACTACCAGTCATAAATCACATTCTCCAATTAGTTTGGAATGCTGGCTTTCCACCCAGTTCTTCATCCTGCCATGTCTTATCATCTCTTATTACAAAGAACCTTGGTTCTCACCATTATACAGTATTGTTTTGTCTACCTAATCTCCCATGCACATTCTTCCTCCTCCTCCTCCTCCTCCTTCTCCTCCTCCTCCTCCTCCTCCTCCTCCTCCCAGTATCGTCTAATTCTAACTCTTAACAGTAAAACTTAAAGTAAAGGAAAATGGATGCATCTCCATATGTTGTCAAAGCAAGAACATTCAATGTTAGCAGCATTGACATTCACATTTTAAGATGCATGGGGCAAGACCCTATCTCAGTGGTGGCGAACCTATGGCACGCGTGTCAGAGGCGGCACTCGGAGCCCTCTCTGTGGGCACACGTGCCGTTACTCCAGCCTTGTCTCCCCCCGTGACCCCGTCCTCATCAGCAGTCCCCCTGGAGGAGAGTTGCCTCCGAGCGTGGCCCACGTGGAGCAGCGCAGTCAAGGACATGGCAGCCAGGCAGCGTAGACAAGACTCTGCCCTCACGCCCCATTGCGCACAGTTGATGCTGCAGGGTGCGGGCAGAGGGCGTGGCCACCATGGCGCTGCTGGGCTGCCTGGGCGATCTGCGGCGGGCCCTGGAGGCAGTGAGTGGCCCTGCAGGCAGGCAGGGTGGGGGCGTGGCAGGGGGTGGAGCCGGGGCGGGGCCAGTTTTTGGGCACTCGGTCTCTAAAAGGTTCGCCATTACTGCCTTATCTTTTGGGTTGTTACAATCTCAAGTGCCAAAGTATATTGATGGTGGGAGAAAGAGGGGTGGAGAAAATAAAATTCTCAGCTGCTCAGGTTGAAATTGTCTGCAGAAAATATTCCATTTCACTATCATCTGGGTAAAACAAACCTTTCAGGCTCACCCATTTGAGAAGCGTCGCCCGAGGCATAAAGCATCCTCTGATTTAGCATAAAGAGGTTGAGCAGCTATACAAATGACCCATGTCATCCAAAATTGTAATACTTATGGCTGCCAATTATTAAATAAGTGCCACTTAAAGTCCTTTGGTGGGAGACAGATTGTACCCCGAAGTGCAAGGAAAGAAGATTTATTTCACTCACCTGCAAAGCCTCAATCTCCTAAAGAGACGGCCCGAATTCTTGTTTTATCCGCTTTAGAGTGACAAATTGAAATCCATATATCAATCCTGTCAACCTGATGGGAATAAAAAGGAATGGTTCTGCGTTAGAATTAGTCTTAACTGTGCAGGGAGACAGGCTGGCTTTTGATGTTAATTCAGAATACCACAAGGCTTCGGTTTAAAATAAATGGGCTTTTCTCCATTGCTAACCTGAAACCACTCCAGTGGGCAGGTTAGAAAAGGAAGTCATTAGCTGTGGGCACCATAAAGGAAGAGTAATTCTATTTACTTGTCTGAGCATCAGGAAAACAAGAAAATTAGATTTGGGGTGAGTCATCCTTACCAGAAAGCTGCAGAATATTTGGAGTTGCGTGAAACCGGTGTCTCATCCTGCAGGCCAATCCATATTCTACAAATATATTTAAAAGATAAAGATAGTCATGAATTTTCTTTCAAAAGAGTATTTCTCCAGTTTCATTGCTGATCCTGATGAAAATCAAACTTTGATACGGGAAAAGGCACAGGAGTCATCTGGATGATTTAAATCTTCTAAATTCTAGTCAGGAGACCCAACTATGTTGAACCGAATAAATTAGTAGCTTAACTTAAATAAGAAACCGAAAGTCAGTATTCGAAGGATATGTTATGCTTGGCAAGTTTTAACTCTTAAGTAAAAACTTGAGAGATTTGTTTTTCTCACCATGCACACATATACCTAATCCGAACTAGACTGTGTTGTTTCTGTGTGTCATATAATATATGTGGGTATATGCATAATTCTGTATTTATTTTTGTCATTTTTATGGAGTATATATATCGGAGGCGGTGAGCCTTTGAGAGCTGTACGCAACAAAATTTCATTTTAATGTATGCCGATTAGTGTACATTCAAAGCGGCAATGAAGTTATTATTCTATTCTATTATTCTATTCTAAACCTACTGGGCTACTTTACTGTTCTGGGTATTATCATACCCCAAAAGTGGATTGATTCAGTAGCTGGGTTGAATGTTTTGTGAAAATGCAACCTCTGGCATTAGGGAAAAGTCTATCAAATCAATTAAATGAGCTTTATTGAATACAGAATAACAGAGTTGGAAAAAACCTTGGAGCCAGATTCACTTAAACAATCGTGTTACTAATTTGACAACTGCAGCGATTGACATAACAATTGTGGTAAGAAACTTCGTAAAATGGGGCAAAATTCACTTAACAGCTATCTTGCTTAGCAACAGAAATTTGGGGCTCAATTGTGGTCGTAAGTCGAGGACTACCTGTATATGGCCCACTGGAAATGTGTGGATGCCACATCCAGAAGTCCTTTCTAAGCCTCGGAGGCCTGGAGGTCTCCCAGGCCTGGAACAGCCCACCAGAAGTTTGTGGATGCCACTTCCGGAAGTCCGTTCAAGGCTCGGAGGCCCAGGCCTGCATCCAATAAGAGAACCGGTTGTTCAGGTATTTCAATCCCACCAATGGATGGGAGGTCAGGTCAGGTGCAGTCATTGGGAGGTGAAGTCTAGTGCAGGGATCCCCAGCCCCCAGTCCATGGACCAGCACCAGTTCACAGCATGCCAGAAACCGGGCCACGCAAACAAGCAAAGCCCCATCCGCGGGATACAGACAGCACGTGAAACCATGCCCTCTCTGGTCTGCGGGAGAAAAAAATCTCCATGGAACTGGTCCCTGGTGCCCAAAAGGTTGGGGGCGGCTGGTCTAGTGCAGGGGTAGGCAACCTTGACTCTTTTATGTGTACTTTATGACTCGTGGCTGGCTCAGGCATTCTGGGAGTTGAAGTCCACGAGTCCTAAAAGAGCTAAAGTTGCCTACCCCTGGTCTAGTGCAATAAATGATAAACTCATGACAAGATTTGAAGTTTTGTGTATTTATTACCTATTTGGAATTTCTCCTGCTGGTACCTGGAATAGGTTGGGTCATTTATAAGAGCCGTGGTGGCGCAGTGACTAGAATGCAATATTGCAGGCTGACTCTGCCCACAGCCAGGAGTTTGATCCTGACAGGGCTCAAGGTTGACTCAGCCTTCTATCCATCCGAGGTTGGTAAAATGAGGACCCATATTGCTGGGGGCCAAGTATGCTGACTCTGTAAACCAATTAGAGAGGGTTGTAAAGTGCTGTAAAGCACTGTGAAGCGGTGCTATTGCTTTTTGAGTGAACCCTGAAACTTTTATTCCTTGATAAAGAAGAAGAAGAAGAAACAGCACCCACAAACTCAATTCTCCTCCTAAGAGACTATCTAAAAATAATGTCTTCCTTCCAAGCCTAATTTGACCTTAGATGGATACTCTCAGCTTCAAACGTTATTTTGCTGTACCAGTGCAGACAGACAACCATCAAACATCACTTGCCGTGCTGGCACCCGTTTTGCAACAATTTATTTTATTAGGTTGAAGACATGGTAGTGTTATTTGACTGCTCCTAATGATGCATAAGAGTGCTGTGGGCCGCAAATGATGATTAATGTCATGTAACTGTTCCTAACAATTTGCTCCAGCTGAAAAGATGTGGAAGTTTTATGCTTTGACAACAAAAACAAAGCACTTTCTCTTGGTTGCCCTGTAGCACACACGTGTGTGTGCTCTCACGCATGCAAACAAACACACAAAGAGATCAGGTAGCCACTTCCCCATATACCCGACTTCCTTAATTTATTCAGACTGGAAAAATTGATCAGAAAATCCCTTCTCCATTCTATTGTATACACCCCCCCACACACTGTCTTACCTATTATTTTCTTAATGCTAATGCATATATTGTCTTATTGTTTTAATCGTTTATAACATCATTTATCAGATTGTAAACCACTCAGAGTCACATGACAGCCAGATGGGGAAGGAAGGCAGGAAGGAAGGAAGGAAGGAAGGGAGAAAGAGAGAGAGAGAGAGAGAGAGAGAGAGAGAGAGAGAGAGAGAGAAAGAAAGAAAGAAAGAAAGAAAGAAAGAAAGTTCTTAATATGTAGCTACTGTAGTCCTCGACTTACAAACATTCACTTAGTGACATTCAAAGTTATAATGGCACTGGAAAAGTGATTTATGATTGTTTTTCACACTTGGTCACGTGATCAAAACTGGGACGCTTGGCAACTGACATGTACTTATGACCGTTGCACTGTCTTGGGGTCATGTGATCACCATTTGTGACCTTCCCAGCCAGCTTCCGAAAAGCAAAGTTAATGGGGGAAGCCAGATTCGCTCAATGACTGCATGATATACTTAACAACAGTAGTGATTTGCTTGACAACCATGGCAAAAATGTTCATAAAATGGGGCCAGACTCACTTAACAACTGCCTTGCTTAGCAGTGGAAATGTTGGGCTCAGTTGTGGTTGTAAGTCAAGGACTACCTGCACTTGAATCTTATGTTCCTCTCCAGATGTTCCTCTCCGATGACTGCTCAGTGCTGTCCTACCTGGGTTTACCAAGCCATCCTTTGTGTGTTTCCTTCCCACAGAGCCATGTTTGACTACGACAAAAGCAAGGACAGTGGCCTCCCCAGTCAAGGACTCAGCTTCAAGTATGGAGATATTCTCCACGTTATCAACGCCTCGGATGATGAGTGGTGGCAAGCAAGAAGGGTCATGCTGGAAGGGGACAGTGAAGAGATGGGAGTTATACCTAGCAAACGAAGGTATGTGGTGTCCTCTTCTCCTTTTTTCTTTTCTTTTCTTTTTTTACAAGCTTTATTTCAAGTCTCTGTGGCAAGCTCACACGTAATCATTATTTTAATCCAAAACATACAAAAATGTACAAAAGGAAAAAAAAACATAGATGGAGGCACACAATGCGGTTTCCTTTTTAATAATGGCCATGCTGTCCATAACACGATATTGTCGTGCTAGCGCAGTGGTTAGAATGCGGTACTGCAGGCTACTTTGGCTGACTGCCGGCTGCCAGCAGTTCGGCAGTTTGAGTCTCACCAACTCCAGGCTGACTCAGCCTTCCATCCTTCCGAGGTCGGTTAAATGAGGACCCAGATTGTTGGGGGCAAATATGCTGATTCTGTAAATTGCTTAGAGAGAGCTGTAAAGCATTGTGAAGCGGTATATAAATCTAAGTGCTGTTGCTATTGACAAAGAGGCAGTATGAATTTGTTAACAACATATTATCTTTAAGTTGAAGGACGTGGTGGCACAGTGGTTTAATGAGCTTACAGCCAGACATGGTTTGCACTCTGGCTGTTTGAGCCCCGGCTCCATGAGATGGAGTGAGCTCCCATCACTCGATTCCCAGCTCCTGCTCATCCAGCAGCTCAAAAGCATGCAATAGTGCAGTGGTGGCGAACCTATGGCATGCGTGCCAGAGGCGGCACTTGGAGCCCTCTCTGTGAGCACACGCACCGTCCCTCTAGCCCCACCTCCTCCCATGGCCCCCTCTTCACCAGCAGCCCCCCGGAGGAGAGTCGCCCCCGGGCGCAGCCCACACGAAGCAACGCAGCCAAGGATATGGTAGCTGGGCAGCAGGGACAAGACTCCATCCTTGCGCCCCATCGCACACAGATGATGCTGCGGGGCACGGGCAGAGGGTGTGGCCACCATGGCGCTTCTGGGCTGCCTGGGTGATCTGTGGCGGGCTGTGGAGGTGGTGGGTGGCCCAGTGGGCAGGGCAGAGCGGGGACGGGTGGGGGGGCGGGTTTTGGGCACTCGGTCTCTAAAAGGTTCGCCATCACTGCAATAGTGCAAGTAGATAAATGGGTACCACTTCGGTGGGAAAAACCTAGCTGCATTCATGTGTGTGGAGAGCGGAAGCCAGCGCTGGACCTGGCTGGACACGAGGCATTGCGAGGCGAGGCAAGGCAAGGCAAGACCAATGGAAGAGCCCAGACGAACCTGCAATCCGAGCAGTGCTAGTCTGCCGGTGTACGCTAGTTTACCGCCTGTGATGCACCAAGAATAGGCATCCAAGCACCAAAATGAATGAACTAGCAATTTAGGCTATTGTGTCTAGCATGAGTACATTTCCCTAACATTGCATGCCATATTCTAAATAAATAAATAGATAAATATCTTTAAACAGGCAAAATAATTTTGCTAAGGATTCTTTGCCCTCCGATGGCCATTGAACCGGGTGCATCCTTGAGAAAATAAACTGGGAAGTACTGTTGGGGACGGAACTGGTCATGGGGGAAAAAAAATCAAACAATTCCACGTTCTTTTGTGCTCTACCTAATTATTTGCCAGAACATTTTTAGAGGGTCAGTTATAACTTTGAACAGTCGCTAAGCAACTGGTCATAGGTCGAGAACTAGTGTTATAGTGCTACCCTGAGTAAAAATAAAAAGCTGTAGCTGGTTGATGTGTCTGACTGGCCAATTGCCACACTGAAATAACTGACGATCAACCCATTTATCTGACAGCACGCAAAACTGTGGTCAAACAAGGAACAGGCTTCTCTAGTGCAAAAATGTTTGTCAGTCTGGCAGCAATCTAGCTGTGTAGATGCAAGCCTACACTGAATCACAATCAGAGTCACACAAAAAAGATTGAATCCATTGCATTACCATCCTTACTCCTTTCTGCCTGTATTTCATAGAGAGAGAAAGAGAGAAGAGAAAGGGAGGGAAGGAAGAAAGGGAAGGAGGGAGGGAGGGAGGGAGGGAGGAGCAAAAGGAAGGGAGGAGCAAAGGAGAGGGAGGGAGGGAGGGAGGGAAGGAAGGAAGGAGAGGAAGGAAGAAAGGAAGGAAGGAAGGAAGGAAGGAAGGAAGGAAGGAAGGAAGGAAGGAAGGAAGGAAGGAAGGAAGGAAGGAAGGAAGGAAGGATACCAGAATGCCTAAAGTGGCTGACCAGGGGGGTTAATTTATTCCCAAATATCCCCGGCATATCAAATGGAACTAAAATCCAGAAAAGCCAATTAATTCATTCAGTACCCTATCCTACACTCACAACCTAGGAGTTTAACTCCATTCAAGCAATAGACTAAATCATAAATCATGCCTTACAACTTAAACCACAAACAGGCAAGTCTCATTAGGGTGTGATTCCAACCTGAAGCAGGTTTTCTACTAAAAGCAGAAATTAATCGTAAAATCGAGTCGTGTTGCAAGGTGAGAGAGAGAAAGAAAACTCAATATTAGCGTGTAGTAATCATTAAAAGACTGAATTTAGCTTTGACCTAATTATCTTTGCCCCAGAATATGCAGCGTTTCCTTTCTCCATTTAGGACTCCCAATTTTCATTCCCTTTCAATGTCTTTTCCCTTTGCATCTTCTCCTATATTAGCAAGATTTAAAATTGAGAGTTTTGTATGGTTCAAAGATCACCCCCCTGAATATGAAAGCTGCATTTCTATGTGCGCATGCTGCTTTCTCTAAGGGAAAAAAAAAATTATTCCAAAGTTCAGCTGTAACTATAGTAACATGAGCTTGGTGTGCTGCAGCTGGCAATGTTAAAAACGGGCAGTTTTGAAACAGAAGTATATATTTTATTTCTTCTTGAAGATAATGTTCTGCAAGGCATTTTGTTCCGCAATAATTAACTTGTGTAGTTTTCACACTTGTTCCCGTAGTCAAAAATAACTCCTCCTTATGTAACTTTTGAAAATTGTGTTTCTCCTGAAGTATATCTGTCTATGCTGCTTGGTGAATCTGTTGTGGGTCTACTGTTACAATGGTAGATCTAAAAACTTTGCTTTTTTAGTCACTTGTGAGAGATCTCCTACCTATTTTGAATCCTAGATGTGTCAGCTGCCCCCTTACTTGTGTTGTGCTTTGCTACCAAGTGGTGACAGTCTGCCGTGAACTCTGGGGAGAGGAGATACTTGGGGGAAAGCGAAAGTAACTTCTTTATCTCCCTGAGATGCTGCTTCAAGGTCACCCAGCTGCGAGAAGAAGGCTGCTACATACAACCTACGCTTGGCATGACGTGACCGTTCTGAAAACATCTTGGTTCAACCTGATTAGTCACGGCGATGATAGTCAGCGATAGTCAGCGATGGGAGGCAGTTAAGGGAGGGAAAAGTTGAACTTGGGGATTTTGGCGCACGATTCTCAGTTCTAGATCTGTGCTACTGCAATGCACTTGACTTCTAATAAAATCATACCTTTTCCAAGAATTGGAGCCAAGGCTTGTTTCTATTTAGAGGCTTAAGTGGTAACAGGCCTGACAAAATGTATGTGATTCCCAGCCATTAACTAAGTGGGACCATTGGTTGACTAACTCTTTTATCTTTGCCTTTTATTTTTATACCTATTTTTATATTTTGTAAATTTATTTCCTAAGTTAAAATGCAGAATCCAAAAAGAAGAGAAGAAAAGAGAAAAAGAGCAACCTAAAAGCAAAGATTAAAAAAATATCGAACATATATATATAAAACATTCCCATATATATATATATATATATATATATATATATATATATATATATATATATATATATATAAATATAAAACATTGGTTGAATACAGGTAGTCCTCAATTTATAACAGTTCATTTAGCGACCGTTTGGAGTTACAACGGCACTGAAAAAAGTGACTTATGACCGTTTTTCACACTTACGACCATTGCAGCATCCCGAGGGTCACGTGATCAAAATTCAGGCATTTGGCAACTGACTCCTACTTATGACGGTTGCACTGTCCCCAGCTCATGTGATCCCCTTTTATGACCTTCTGACAAGCAAAGTCAATGGGGAAGCCAGATTCACTTAACAACGGTGTTACTAGCTTCACAACTGCAGAGGTTCACTTAACGACTGGCAAGAAAGGTTGTAAAATGGGGCAAAACTCACTTAACAAATGCTTCACTTAACAACAGAAACTTTGTGGTCGTAACTCAAGAACTACCTGTACCAGGAGTAGGAAACCTATGACTCTTTTATGACTCGGAATTCCCAGAATTCCTGAGCCAGCATGGGGAAAACTTTGGCCCCTTCATGACTTGTGGACTTCAACTCCCAGAATTCCTCAGCCAGCATGGCTCAGCTTAGAAACCTCTCCCTATCCCCTCAGCATGGCTGGCTCAGGAATTCTGGGAGTTGAAGTCCACAAGTCATAAAAGAGCCAAGGTTGTCTACCCCTGATCTCTCCTGATGAATATATTTCAACAATACTTTTTCTAAAATTTGGGGGCTTTAGTCTCTGTGGCATTATTGACTATTTAATTTTTTTTCCTGATTATATGTTGCCTAGCATTTGCATTTTTGTTTCTCTGAGAAGTTTAATATAAATGATGTAACCAAAAGTAATATAGGTAGTCCTTGACTTACACCTGAAACTGAGCCCAAAACTTCCATTTCTAAGCGAGACAGCCATTAAGTGAGTTTTGCCACAATTGTTAGGCAAATCACTTCAGCTGTTAAGTAAGTCATGCAGTCGGTAAGTGAATCTGGCTTCTCCCATTGACTTTGCTGAGAGGATAACAAGTGGTGATCACATGACCCTGGGACAGTGCAACTGGCATAAGTACATGCCAGTTGCCCAGTGTCTGAATTTTGATCACGTGACCATGGGGATGCTAGAGCGGTCGTAAGTGTGAAAAAACAGCCATAAGTCACTTTTTTAAAATGCCGCTGTAATTTCAAACAGTCCCTAAATGAATTGTAAGCTGAAGACTACCTGTAATGAAAAAAACAGTATATTTAATAATAATGAATACAGCTAAAATGCTAATAATGGATTTCATACATATTTCCATTTTCCTTTCTTCCTCTTTTTTTCCCTCTTTCTCTCCAGGGTGGAAAGGAAAGAGAAAGCACGTTTAAAAACAGTGAAATTTAATTCCAAGCCGGGTGTGATCGATGCCAAAGGGGTAGGTAGACATGAATCTAACTGTTTGTTCACTCAACTCTTCTAATTACAGGTATTTTAAAATAGGCCGGGAAAGAAAGTGAAAATTTATCATACACTCAAGAAATATGAGAAAGGAAAAAAATGTTTTATTAAGAGTGAAACCTTTACTATCAAATCATGGAACTGCTCCTCAACACCTCAGTTGCTATTGCACAGTTCTCTTGTGCACACACACACACACACACACACACGCTGAAACACACATTAAAGTTTTAATAAATAAGATTTGTGCTTTTGAGACAAGAATCCGAACAGTCAACTCAGCCTACCAATCCGTTCACCTTTCCAAATTCTGCTCTGAAAAGATGAAATTCCTTGAGTTGTTTTGGCTGTGTGTGTGTGTGTGTGTGTGACACACCATACAACAGTGGGTCAGCTGCATCTGGACAGAACAGTGTGTTCATGGGCAACCTGGTTACAACAATCTGGCATTGTTAGGAATGCTGAAAAAGAAACCGGAGGAAATCTAGACAGAAACAATCAGATCGTCTTGACTTTCGACCATTTGTAGTTCCGATGCTCAGCCCCCCCCCCCACAGTCACATGACTGAACTTTGGGCACTTGGCAAATCGGCTGTATTTACGGCCATTTGCAGGGGTTTTGCAGTCATCTGACTGCAATTTGCAACAGCTTTGCCCAAAACCCAGCATTTACTTCCAATTTATTTTCAAATTTGGTTCACTTAAAGCAGACATGTCAAACTTGCGACGTCATGTGACGTCACGCAACATATCGGGACAGTTTTGTCATTGCCGGCAATGGGGTGGGCGTGGCTTCCAGATGATGTGTCCAGCCCGCGGGCTGGGAGTTTTGACACCCCTGACTTAAAGACTGTTGCAACCCACTATGTTTGCTTAACAATTGCTGTGGAAAAGGTTGCAAAATTGGGTTGGTCACATAACCGATCCGTTTAATAACTGTCACGAATTGTGACCTTAATGGGCAGACTCCATTACGGTCGTAAGGGTGAGCACTACCTGTACTGATGTGAGAAGGTAATAATAATCAGAATAGAGCTGGAAGGGACCTTGGAGGTCTTCTAGTCCAGCCCCCTGCTCAAGCAGGAGACCCTATATCATTTCAGACAAGTGGTTATCCAGTCTCTTCTTAAAAACCTTGAGTGATGAAGCACCCACAACATCTGAAGGCAAGCCGTTCCACTGGTTAATTGTCCTCAGGAAGTTTCTCCTTAATTCCAGGTTGTTTCTCTCCTTGATTAGTTTCCATCTATTGTTTCTAGTCCTGTCTTCAGATGCTTTGGAAAATAAATTGACCTCCTCCTCCTTGTAGCAGCTTCTCAAATGCTGGAATACTGCTATCATGTTCCCCCTAGTAGTCCTTCTTTTCTCTAGTCTGGCTATTCCCAAATCCTGCAACCGTTCTTCAAATGTTTTAGTCTCCAGAATTTTAATCATCTTAGTTGCTCTTTGTTGCACTTTTTCCAAAGTCTCAGCATATTTTCTGTAATGTGATGACCAAAACTGGATGCAGTATTCCCGGTGTGGCCTTACTAAGGCTTTATAAAGCGGTACTAATACTTCACGTGATTTTGATTCTATGCCTCTGTTTATACAACCAAGGATTGTATTAGCTTTTTTGGCTGCTGTCGCACACTGCTGGCTCATGTTTAAGTGATCGTCCACTAGGACTCCAAGGTCCCTCTAACTATTGCTATTTTTGAGCCAGACTTTGCCTAAAGTGTACTTTGTTAGTAGCTTATCTCATAAACAGTAGCTGTTTGCAAGTCCCAGAAAGTAGAGATTCCAGACTTTAATAAAAAGGATAACACTGTGAAGTTGTTCAGATTCTCTGCCTCACCCTAATTAAAACTCCTCCTGAGATTCTTGCTTCCTTGATCATACCCTGCAGTCTAGAGATCACTCGTGTCATAGCCCCGCTCCCCATCCTTTATTTTTATGGCCCTGGCATTTGAAGGGACACTACATGGTTAGTCATCGTGTTTTAATATCTGTGAGGTCCTGGATGGCTCTCTGAACTTGGTTGCTTTTTGCAGATGTTTCATGCTCATCCAGTTTTGGTCACCCCATTACAAAAAAAAAAGATGTTGAGACTTTGGGGGGGGGAAATGCAAAGAAGAGCAACTAAGATGATTAAAGGTCTGGAGACTAAAACATATGAAGAATGGTTGCAGCAATTGGGAATGGCCAAACTAGAGAAAAGAAGGACTAGGGGAGGACATCCAGTATTTGAGGGGCTACCACAAAGAAGAGGGGGTCAATTTATTTATCAAAGCACCAGAAGGCAAGACAAGAAACAATGGATGGAAACTAATCAAGGAGAGAAGCAACCTGGAACTAAGGAGAAACTTCCTAACAGTGAGGACAATCAACCAGTGGAACAGCTGGCCTTCAGACATTGTGGTACTCCATCACTGGAGGTTTTTAAGAAGAGACTGGACAACCACTTGTCTGAAATGACATAGGGACTCCTGCTTGAGCAGGGGGCTGGACTAGAAGACCTCCAAGGTCCCTTCCAGCTATATTCTGATTGATAGGTAACATCATCAGTGAGGATGGAGGTTCGTTCTCCGAGCTTGTGGATTGGTTTCTGAACGTTTCATTACCAGGCTAGGTAACATCTTCAGTGGAGTTTAGGGGATGTCAGAGTCCGTGTTCTTCTGTTTATAAATGCTTTGTGTGGTCAGTAGGTCTTGTGATGGTTGTCAACACTGCTAACATCGGATGTTTTTGCATTGACAACAAATGGAGATGCAATCATTTTCTTCTTTTTACTTTTAGAGTCAGATGATGCTGGGGAGGGGGGAGGAATGTGCATGAGAGTCTAGCTAGACATAATAATACTGAACTTAGTGTGAGAACCAAGGTTATTGAAAGAAGAGATGATAAGAATTGGCGGGCTGGAGAGCTGGAGGGAAAGCGCATATTTCAAACTAATTGGGGAATGTGATTTGTGACTGTCAGATGGAGGAGGGAATTGTGCTTTGATACTATGTGCTCAGGGAGGGGAACTCAGTTTTTGGCTTTGATTGTGTTAGTGCCGATGCTATGCTACTCAGATAAAGATTCTTTAAGGTAAACAATGCCTCGAAGTTCTTTGAAGAGTTTCATCTGTCGGAACCATGACAGGTGAGGTAACGTCAGGTGAGGGTCCCATCAGGCGAAGGTCTTGTGATTGGTCTTGTGAAGGGTCTTGAGACCCATCACAAGACCAATCACAAGACCAAGATCTATCACAAGACCCTCACCTGATGGGAACCTCACCTGACGTGACCTCACCATCACAAGACCTACTGAAAACTGACACTGACATCGCCTAAACTGCGCTGAAGATGTTGCCTAGCCTGGTAACGAAATGTTCGAAAACCAACCCATGAGCTCGGAGAACGAACTTTCCCCATCATCTTACACCCGAGCTACACATACTCATCACTATTGCACACATCATCATCATCAAGTTGGAAGGGACCTTGGAGGTCATCAAGTCCAACCCCTGCTCAGGCAGGTAACCCTATACCAATGATGGCGAATCTTTTAGAGACCGAGTGCCCAAACTGCAACCCAAAACCCACTTACGCATCATCGGGTGTCGGGTGGGTGTGGCCCATTGGATGGGTGTGGCCCATTGGGTGAGCGTGGCCCATTGGGTGGGCGTGACTGCGGTGGTAATGGCAGACTGGGTGGGACTAAAAAGTTCAATCAATCTCTTTTTTTCCCGCAAGAAGTTGAAATTGACTGATTGATTTAAGCTTTTTTTTTTTGCACACGGCAGTGGAGGCCTAAAACAAAAAGGTTTTATAAAACCCAACTGAAGGCCTAGGACCGGGGCGACGGTGCGCGTGCCCACAGAGAGGGCTCTGAGTGCCACTTCTGGCACCCGTGCCATGGGTTCGCCACCATTTCGGACAAATGGCTGTCCAGTCTCTTCTTTAAAACTTCCAGTGTTGGAGCATTCACTGCTTCTGGAGGCAGGTTGTTCCACTGGTTAATTGTTCTAACTGTCAGGAAGTTTCTCCTTAGTTCTAGTTTGCTTCTCTCCTTGACTAGTTTCCACCCGTTGCTTCTTGTCCTGCCTTCAGGCGCTTTGGAGAATAGCTTGACTCCCTCTTCTTTGGGGCAGGCCCTGAGATACTGGAACCCTGCTATCATGTCCCCCCTCGTCCTTCTCTTCATTAGACTAGACATAGCCAATTCCAGCAACCATTCCTTGTATGTTTTAGCCTCCAGTCCCCTAGAATTGGTGTAGAACTGCTAGAAGTGGTAATGATTAACTCTGATCTGCATTTATAAGTAGAAGTGATACCCAAACTGGCATCTTGCACATTGCTAACCTAACCCGGAGAAGGCTGGAGACAGGAAAAAAAATAATAATCACCTGGAGAAAAAGAAAATGAGCTGGAAAAAAAACGGGCTGGAGACTTAAGTAGCCTGTTGCCCTTTATTCTAACATATCTCCTTGAAGTTGCAAACAGCTCCAAGTCTTTTCCTGCTTGCCAATTCTTCTCCAGCATTCAAGGACAGCGTTAGAGGGAGCCTATTACTGTTCTAAAAAAGGATTCAGGAAATACCTCAGAGCATTCTTAAAACCTAACCGTAACTCAACGACAATCTCTTCGTGACCTCTACAAAAGTCCCATTTGGTTTTTTTTTTTCAAACGACAAAAAAAAACCAAAACAGTATTTTTGAGATGCATATCGCAGAGATTTTGACCAGGTTACCATTCCCAAGCCTACATCTTTCTGCTTAAGGTCAGCAATACTTGATATTAGAACACAGAACTTAGAATAACAGAACTGGAAGGGACCGTAGAGGTCTTCTAGTCCAACCCCTTGCTTAAGCAGGAGACCCTAGACCAGTGGTGGTGAACCTATGGCACGCGTGCCAGAGGCGGCACTCAGAGCCCTCTCTGTGGGCACGTGTGCCATGCCCCAGAGATGGCAACCGTCCCTCTTCAACTAGCCACCCGCTAACTCGCCGAG